AAGTACTCCTCATCCATATGGATCTGTCTGTACTAACATCAAGCAGCCATCTCCCGGATAACCGCGTCGCGATCACCCTCCACTTCTTGCTTCACGGTATTCACCACTACCTTCCCATGGACAGATACAGGCTCGTCATGCCACCTACACTCTTCGCTGTCTTGGCGGCACCGTTCTGGAAGTTCGCACACGCGATCATCTTCTGGAACTGGTATGCCGCTCTGGCTGCCTACTGTGGTGGTATCTTTGGCTACACCTGCTACGACATGACACATTACTTCCTGCACCACCAGAAGTATGTATACCCATAGATCACTATGAAGGACCTTGCTAACAAACTGAAGGCTACCTCCCTACTACCAGCAACTCAAGAAGTACCACCTTGCGCACCACTTCGCCGACTACCAAAACGGCTTCGGTGTCACCAGCCGCTTCTGGGACCGCATCTTCGGCACTGAGCTTGAGATGGGACCCTCCAAGGTCATCAAGTCGACTTAGATGGCGACGTACGAATAGACTTTTGCTATTAGACACCCACCTGTCACCACGTTGTCAAGACCGGCATTGAACAAGGCGTTCAGCGGGTCTGTAGGGCCATTTTGGGTCGATGCAGCTTTGATGTTTGTAAATAACTTTATGACTCACTACCTCAGATAATAGTAATGCCAACAATCACTTCACTTCTGTTCACCATTCTTCAGTCACTGCTCATTTCCCTGTTGCGGTCACGGCGGCAGTCACCTCCGCACGGACTTGTTGCCTATTAGTCACGCTGACCCTGCCAAGGCCCCTCCAACTTTTCAAGTTATCACGCCCAGGCCTGCCTCTCCACTTTCCACTCACCCACCCATTAACACGTCGTGCTGCACGAGCAAAGCTTCAATCAAGCACCCATTTGTCAAGTGCATCTCGGTCAAGAGGTCATTCGGCAAGCGCCAGCAGTATTATTTTCTACGTCCGTTCGATATCGCAATTGAAATCAATACTTGAGCCCCAGCTCGCCATCACAACAACACATCGCCCATTGCAGTGACATCGCGCATCACTTCCACCAGCTACGCTTATCGAGAGCTAGGAACCGCCACCGACGTCGCCATGTCTACCCAAGCCGCAGTCGAGGCCCTCCTCGAGGAGACCGCCCGCGAGGTCGAGATGAAGGACGCCGAGCGCAAGCGCACTGCCAGCAGCGAGGCGCGCGACACCGACAGCCGCCGCGACGACCGCCACTCAGATCGCCGTGACCGCCGTGATAGGAGCCGAGACCGTGGGGACCGTCATCGTGAGTCCAATGGAGATCGCCGTCGCAGCCGCGATAGAGACCACCGCCGAAGAGACGGAAGCCGTCCCCGTTCTAGCAAAGGTGCTGACACAGATGAAGACCGTGATAGGCTCCGCCGCAGCAGCTCGCGCGACCGCCGTGGAGGTCGTGGAGGCCGTGACCGCGGAGGCGACTTCTACAGCGGTAGCGGTCGTCCACGTTCCCGCTCCCCTCGCGACCGCGGCAACGATAGGTACCGTGAGAGGTCCCGCGACCGTCGCCGCAACGGTGGTGACGACCGCCGCAACAGCCGTCGCAACAACACCCCACCCAAGCCAGAAGTCACCGAGGACGACCGCGACAAGCGCACCATCTTCGTCCAGCAGATCTCCCAGCGTGCTGAGATGCGTCACTTGCGCAGCTTCTTCGAGCGTGTCGGCCCTGTTGTCGAAGCTCAGATCGTCAAGGACCGAGTTACCGGCCGTAGCAAAGGGTGAGTGCTCAATTCTCCGTTCCTCATACACACATGCTAACATACGTCCAGTGTCGGCTACGTTGAGTTCGAGGCCGAAGAGTCTGTCCCTCTTGCACTGGAGCTGACTGGCCAGAAACTGAAGGGCGTCCCCATCATTGCCCAGCTTACTGAAGCCGAGAAGAACCGTGCTGCTCGTCCTTCCGAGGGCGGTGCTGCACCCGGTGCCAACGGCGCCCCCTTCCACCGCCTCTACGTCGGCAATATCCACTTCAGCGTCACCGAGAAGGATCTCCAGGAGATCTTCGAGCCTTTTGGTGAGCTTGAGCAGGTCATCCTCCAGCGCGATGAGTTGAACCCTGGCCGCTCCAAGGGATATGGTTTCGTTCAGTAAGTCGTCTGTTTAGGTTCACTGCGACATCATTTACTAATACATCACAGGTTCGTTGACCCCTCGCACGCTAAGAATGCTCTCGCAGAGATGAACGGTTTCGAGCTCGCCGGCCGCCAGATCCGCGTTGGTCTCGGCAACGACAAGTTCACCCCCGAATCGACCGCGAACCTCCTCCGTACATTCACCCAGCAGGCTCAGTCCTACCAAGGCTCTGCCTTCAGCGGTGCTGGTGGTCGTGGTGCCTATGCTGGTGGTACTGGTGGTGTCTTCGACCGTACCCATAGCAAGGACGACCGTGGTGTTAGCGGCGCCTCTGCTCTTGACGACTCTGATGTCGCTGGAGTCAACTTCAAGACGTATGACCGCAGCAGGCTCATGGACGCTCTCGCTCGCCGCGACGTCCCCGGAGACTCCAGGCAGGGTGGTCAGGCTATGCCTGTACCCACTACTCGCAAGGCTCCCGCTCCAGCCCCCGCCGCTCCCATGGCTTCCAAGTGCGTCAAGATCGAGAACGTCTTTGACCCTGACGAGTAAGTCCTCGCATCTTCTCCGTGACATTCGCTAACACATCACCAGGGAACAGCGCAACTACGGTGACAACTGGAACAAAGAGCTCCAGCACGAGATCAAGTCCGAGTGCGACAAGAAGTACGGCAAGGTCGTTCACATTGCTGTTGACGCCAACAGCGATGGTGATGTCTTCGTGAAGTTCGACTCCGTCTCCGGTGGTGAGAAGGCTCTCCAAGGTCTCAACGGTCGTACTTTCAACCACCGCACCATCCGCGCTTCCTACGTCGTGGACAAGATCTACAACTCCCTCTGGGGTGCTGCTGCCAGCAGATTTTAACCGACCGGTACGTCACAACTGTCGTGGGGTGCTCGGTAGCCACTACTGCCGAGCATGCCCGATCACTCATGTGCACAGTATACCTTGATCGGTTCTTACGGTTTCTTTACGGCTCATTCTCTCGGTTTAATCTTACGGTTTCTACTCTCGGCACACTTTCACACCTCTGGTACGTACGCATGGCGTTGACGGTATGATACGACTCTCTTTCTTTCATCTGCTTGTTCTTCTTTTTGGCGTTGCTTTTCAGGCTATGCTGGCGAAGGTGTACAACGTGCAGTGCTTTGGATGGTGGAAGCTGCGTTGTCAAGATCAACATGAGGGATGAGCGAACGTTCAGAGGTATGATGGATGAAGGTCTTGGTGGATACTGAAAGGATATGGTCTCGGTGAATGACGGACATGATTGTTAGGCGGATGATGGGCGAGAGCTTGTATATGGCGTGGGACATGGCGGTGGAGGAGTGCTTACTTCGGTACGTTCCGTGAAAGGACTTCGGTCTTGTTCAGATCTTTCACTTGGTCTCAGGTCTCCTCACAGACGATTGCGCATGCATCAGCGGCACTTACCACGGAAGCGGAGGACTCATGGCTGCTAATAGCACATAGGACCAGCTCGTCACTTCCTGTCTTCCTGGATGACTTGTCTGCCAATAATCATGTGTTTAGATACTCTCTTGGATCCCTCGTTGCTCTGGCCTTTTGATGTGGAGAATTGAGGATGTGGGTTGGATTGATGAGGCTGTGGACGTGGTTTGACCCTTCTCCACTGCTGACCATGTTGTCGCCTGACGTCGTGACAGGTTTCGATTGTATCGTTTTATTGTGGCTAACTAGGACTCTCGAACCGCTGCACTCTCACATTCCTGGATATTGAAATCACATCGCGTCGACCATATGACGCATCGGAGTCGGTCAGAATCTGACGGCTTCCATGTTTTGCTCTTTCTAGGTCCGCTAGAATAAGTCCCATGTGTCGCGTCGATGCGCGTATATGACTTCACGCGGTTGCCTCGTTCCATGTGTTGTCCTCCTGGAGCATCGCATCGACAAGGCCGCCGAAAGTTGAGTCCTCTACCTAGGGCGACCGATATATCAGGTTTGCCGCAGTGGCTCGTCCGCATTCACCGGCTAGTGACAATTCCCAAGGTTTGGCCTCAGCGACGTATACTTCATAACAGCGCACTGTAGTGACTGCACAGCGTGGTCTGCACTAGGTGAGCAATTGATCGTAGATACCCGCTATCCTGCCTCACTCAATATCGCTCGCATGATTCTGCACTAACAGTGTCGACGTGCATGGTTTCCCGCTCCTGCTGATGCACGACGGCATGACAAAGCTGAACGGGGCGGCTAGACCACTCTAAATGGCGAACGTGGTCCAATCATCAAACGAAGGCGGTTATGCCTGATTCTACAGCTCCTCCGTGCATGCATTGCTTAGTAAAACTAAACTAGTCCTAGAAATTACGGTGGCCTTGCGGCTGTAAAATGCATGCCAACTTCGGCTCCAGTCCTGCAAACGACAGCTAGAGCTCCACTGGAAGCTACCACATCTACAATGCCGATCGAACCAGAACAGCCAGACACACCAACGGAAAGGTCGATACCTAGTCGAACCTCCGAAACCAGTACAGCTGTGCCTAGAGTCGACCGACCATGCACGCGATGTGCATCACTCAAGCTCAGCGTCAAGAGTTTCGTGATCAAAGACGATAGACCTGTTGAGATGCGCATGTCGCTTGAGTCCCTGCGGTCAGCTAACGAACGATTTCGTCTTGGGACCCTTGGAAGCATCAGAGAGCGAGCTGCAGCGTGCCCCCTATGCGATCTTGTAGTTAGTTCCATCGAAGAAGAGAGAGACGTCGTTGGCAACAATGCAGTATGTCATTTGACCTGGGAAATGGACGGACGCGCTCCGGGCGACACCAGGCGCCCGCAAAGAGGAAAACGGACCCGTCGACTGAGAGTCACATGGAGTGACCTATCACTCAAATCCTTCGACGCATACTTGGTATTAGCAGCACCAATGAAATATGCGAATTCCGATCTCGATTATCCCAAGCAATTGAACAGGGAGACGCTGTTCCTCGGCCGACGCTTCGGCGCAACGGAAAGCAAGAAGAATCTCATTCGCGAGTTCTTGCGACTCTGCGAAACAAATCACGACCGTCGCTGCACCCAGAAGATCGGTATCGAGAACCCTTTTCTTGAAACGCTGACGGAGCCGTACTTCGGCGTTATCGACATCGAAAACGACCGTCTTGTTCCCTTACCATATGGGGAGACGGAGGGCCATCTCCATTTCGAGCCATATGCGGCTGTGAGCTATGTTTGGGGAGACACTGGTGCGATGGACTATCGGACGAAGATTGAGAACATTCAGAATCGAAGGAAATCTGGTGGACTCGCAGCTACTATCCGAAAGCTACCGAAAGCTCTCGCACAGAGCATTCGCCTTGTTCATGACTTGGGGATCAGGTATGTTTGGATCGATGCATTGTGCATCGTCCAGGATAGTAGTCACTCGTGGAATCTCAACGCGCGAGCCATGCATCTCATATACGGCAACGCTACGCTGACGATCTGTGCCGCTGACGGCGATTCACAGACGGGTCTGCTAGCTCTAGACGACGACCAACGGCCGCAGCAACGAATCGGAGCTTATGCCGAGAGCGTGCATCTGATTCTGCATCAGCCACCGGAGATCAGCATCCAGACATCGAAGTGGAACAGTCGCGGTTGGACATTTCAAGAACGCATGCTTTCGAAGCGGTGCCTGATATTTACCGGCGGCCAAATATACTTTCAGTGTCGCTCTACGGGAATGTCGGAAGATATCTTTGCGGACCCGGAAGGCCGAGGGTGGTCGCTGGATTTGGTTCAAGCCCCTCTTCAGATGCTCACGGAGCTCAAGCAACGCAGCATGTGGTTTTATGCTCACTGCGTTCATCTCTACACGATGCGCGAGCTTTACGAACCGCTCGATATTCTGGCAGCTTTCAGTGGGATGTGTAAGCTGATGGAGGGTACTATGCAGGCCCCCTTTGCATTTGGGCTTCCGACATCGCACTTCGACCTCGCCCTTTTGTGGGAGCCACTCGACTTCCTAACTCTACTAGACTACGACAAGGTCTCGAAAGAACCAAAATACAAGGATCTCAAGTTCCCCAGTTGGTCGTGGTGCGGATGGAAAAGTAATGGCATTCAATACAAAGCCCAGATGGTCGATGGTTGCCTCTCTGATGTTCACGCTTGGCTGCAAGAACACACATGGATTGATTGGCATATTAGAGATGGCCACGGAAAACTGCGTCGTCTCTGGGACAGAGATTTTTCCCTCACTGATCGTAGTATTGACGACAAATGGAAAGGGTACCCCGCATTCGAACGAACTGAAGAGCAACCCGTTTACGAGTCTGGTAGTGAAGATATCAGCGATATCAACGACACTTACAGTGCGATCGAGATTCATAAAGACGGACCTAGTCACGATGAAACTACTACCTTTGCCCGTCAGATGAGTAACACGCTTGGCAAGAAAATATCGAAGCCCATACGATATACTAGTAAAGTAATCTTCGACGATGTACCCAGCCGTGATACACATGATGGTTACGGTCGGCGGTACCGAAGTTTACTACCGGATGGATCCCAGCTACCCCTAGTAGAATATGCGTTCAATCTAACGCTACCTGAAGATCCATACCACGTCAGGACATCAGCACCCAGACGGCCTACGGACGGCTTGAAAGAGTTTCCCGATCAGCCGTTCTTACAGCTCCGCACCTGGAGAACCTCATTCCACATCGTGCGCTCAACCGAGTCCGACATGAAGGACGACGACGTCGGAGCAACAAGAGCGCGATGCCACATCGCAGACCGGCGCGGCGATAAATGCGGGTCCATCGTTGTCAGCAAGGAATGGCTTGAGAAGTATGAGGCCACGGGTCAGACCATGTTCGAGTTCATCGCCATCTCAGTTGCCAAATCGTTCAGCCAGCAAGAGTTCCCCGTCTGGACATACTATCTACCCAAGGAGAGAGTGGAGTCTGAATGGGATCTCTTTTTCGTGCTCCTGGTGGAGCCGTTTCCTGAGGAAGGCATCTATCGGCGTGTGGCGCTTGGCAAGGTGTTTCAAGCGGCGTTTGCTCAATCTCCCGATGAGTGGAAAGAGATCATATTAGGGTAGCCAATGTTCTCGTGCATGACTCTCTATCGCTTCCTCATCTTCGATAGATCGCGTGCATGTTTATTGAAACCTTTCGTTTCGATGACGTTGTATCGAATGGCGAACACGCGCTAGACCTTTGCAGGGTATATAGATAGCTGAACGAATAACTGTTCGATTCACTCTTTTTGCACATCGACGCTTTTGTGGGAGGCTATATATTATCCAATGCAGTGTGTTAAGTGCTCATACCATGCGCACAGTGACAGGCCGGGTTCGGAAACACAAAAGTGTCCTCGGAAGTGCGCCAACACCGACTCTTTCAAACACGACTCCTTCCCTCCGGCTTACTGGTGTGACCACCAAGACGTGATACATTTGCTTAGGACAAGTTTCCACATCTCGACCGACTACCACACACTCAAGTGTTTGTGCGTCAACAATGTCAGTTCTATCGAACTTCACCCAGCCCATCTCGGCACTACCTGCTGCGCTTCGTACATCGCAAGCTCCATCATCCCTCAGTTCGATCTTACACTGCTGTAAGCGTCTTGTGGTAGCCTGTAGTTCTCCATCTGCCAATTGGATGTCAGAATTCCACTCAACTTCGCAGCATTCAGCTTTGGGATATTCGATTCGCCCACTGACTGCCATCCATGACCACGAAGGTACCTGTCGGTCTGATGAAAATTGGATTCGCTGCATCCTTGCAGTGTCAGCTCGGTGCCAGAGGAGACTTCTGTGCAGATAGTCATCGAAAACGCCATGCGAAGCCCTCATCTTGAACGTCTCAGCTAGTCGATCTACCAAACCGGAAATTGCGACAGGCCTATCTGTGGGATTGGTGATGCCGAGCTGCGAATATCTTTCGAATAGGTCCTGGAATAATCGGATCTTGTCGCGTCTTCGACGATGCATGAGAGATGCTGGAAACTTCGGATCAGCTAGGAAAAGCGCTTTCGAGCTGGAAGTGCGTCAGTATCTGAACCTCCTGTAGATAATTTTACACCATTGCAACTCACTTGCGCATTCGAGTCAGCGTTTCGCAGCGCACCCCTCCACCACATTCCCAATATGTCTGGTTGGCCGTGAAGTGAATAGTCCGTCGAGACAGTGCTCGCTCCTGTAAGACCCAGGCTCGCTGATTCAAGACGCCTTTCTCGACATCGCTATGATAATCGTCAATGATGCTGCTGATTACCACGGTTCCATGTGTGCTTGTGTGAACCTTGGCAAATTGAGAGTCTGGGTCTCGCAATCTTGGTCGCTCCAAGAAACCCTGGGTAGCATCTCGAGCAGACGTCGCGGCGATCGTTACATATGCATTGCCGAAGATGTTGCCCATTCGCCCCGACTCCTTTCTCCAATCTTCGAGATCATCGTCATACTGAACTATGCATAGTGAGTCGATCCATAGGTATCTTTTGCCGAGCTCACGCGTCACCGTGATAGCATCTTGAAAGGTTCTTGGAAGTGTGTCAATGTCCAGACCCTGGGTGCATCTGAGCGTAAAGTTCCCAGAAGACGTGCAGAAAGACCTCTTCTGTTCTTGCGATAACGTACCCCAGCAATGTGACAGAGCGACGTACTCCCCTCGCTCACCTACTCTGGACACATGAAGTCGCAGCTGGTTGTCACTGACATCGAGAACTCTGGTAGGCAGTCGGGAGGTCCTTTTGGGGTAGCATTCAAAGATTTTGTGGTCTTGATCGCACACTCGCATCCACTCTCGAAAGAGTCCAAAACGGCTATCGTTATCGAGCAACATTGGGAATCCAATCTGCGTACCCGAAATGGCAGCTGTGGTCGCTATGTGGATTGATCAGCCCCTGCAAGATCACGAATGAAAAGTGACCAACCTGGCGCGGCGCATAATCTGTACGGCGACTGAACAATGCGTTTGAGAATTCCGGCTGGATCATCTGCGTTCAGCTTCGGCTGCAATAGACTATAGCAAAGCGCACACAAACTCATTATCCCATTATCATCACAAACCCCCGTTGATGTTTTCAGACAAATGCTAGTACAGCGTGTACAGAGGGGTAAAGTAGGTGCCATCTGGCACATGTGTTGAATCTGCGTGTGAAACAATGCCGCGAAAACATTATCAACAGGATAGGTCCACACGTCTTCCATCTTCCAGAGCTGGAGGAGATGGAGTTTGAACTCTTCTCCCTTGCCGTCAAGTTCCGTTTTCAAACGTAGCACGCGAGGACGTAGAACATCCCGAAGAACAGATTTAGGCAATTCGCCCCCCCTTTGCTTCGTGAGCCTCATAATCTTTTTACGAAGATTGGTTGTACCCGGGATTTTAAGTTTGAAATATTGTTCTTCCCATAATTCGATCTCCTGAAACTCTGGGGTATAGATGCTATCGTCATGGTCGGTAGTGTTGGTAGGTGAATCGGAGAGCTTATTCTCAAGCAGTCGCGCATTCTGTCGCTTGACCGTCGTGCTTTTGGCGATATCTTTATTGCGCTTCTTGGGCCGAAGTACGCGTCGTTGAGTGTCTGGCTGTCGCGCCGTCGTCTGACGGCCCATTTTGTTGTTGTCTCCAAGGGCGCGATGAGACCTCTTTTCGTTCTGGAGCGTATGGATCGGAACTTGAATGGCTGGAGTGTTATATGTCGGTAGACAACAGAGTGCAAAAAAGTGGATGGATAATACGACGCGCAAAAGCGTTTTACGTTCGCGGGCGAACGAGCCAGACAAGCAAGTTATGAGGAGGCGCAGCTGCTGCGGAGGGCCACGCTAACGCTGTGTCACCGCCACGATGCTGTCATAGTCTGTACTACTCACTCGACACACCGGTTAGAAGATGCAAGTCCGCGCAAAGTCGCTCAAACCTATCCACGACCGCGCGTTTTACGACTTGAGGTACTTTGTTTAGCGTTGCATACACAAAGTACTGCAATATCAGACAATGAGTCTCGAACAAGAGAAGGCAATGTAGCCTTGCAGCATGCGTCGTAAGCGGGAGTGTGGCTGCCTCCCCCGTATGATGGGGCTATGTTCCCGAGGTTGTCTTTCGGGACGAATCAGCCGCACCAGTCAAACTTGTCGCAAGATCGTGCAGCAACAAAATTTGCATGTGAGGTCTTAGGAAAGGTAGTCAAGTGCTGTAGTATAATGTGCGTAGTGTAGGCGTAGTGTGGGCCTAGTGTACTCATCTCATCCCGTCGTAGTGCCGACGACACCAACATGTCCTAGGTGGACCGAAGCTGCAACACCCATAGACCGTCGCGCTTCCAGTCTCTCGCTATCTGAACTGTTATACACTCGATCTACTGCTTCCTTCGACCACGGCACTGCAGGAACTTCATTCGCTCGTGCGATGAGGTTGGCTTAAGGCACACTGCCAATATATACGTTGAAATGACCCATTCTTTCACATACGACCATAGGATCATAAAAATTAGGCTTCCCGTCCGCTCAGCCATATACAAGCATGATACCGGCAGATTAGTAGTTAGGTGGGTGACTACTAGCGAATCCCCGCTGTTGTATGTTTTTGCCGCCTCTTTTTGCCCTTCTTTTTGCCCCATGTCCGGGGCGGGCAGGTGGGCCGACGGCGAGAACAAGTTTAACCAGGTTGGAACAACAGAAGACATGACCCCGTCTACAATCTTGACACCTCTTCCATAAGACGATCAATTGCGCTGTCTTGAGCAATCGCAATTTTTGCGTCCAAAAGCTGCTCGGCTAAGTTGTCCATCTCTGCATCTTCATCGGGCGTGACTTTGTTCTGCTCCTCCACCTCTATCTGTTCGCGCTCAATTCTTATTTCCCAAACGCCTGCCATCGTGTCTCTTTTCTGTCCCAAAGCCTTGAACCCTTCAAGATACTTAATGCGGAAAATACCTGCTTTATCTTCTGCTTCACATACCCTACCTCCCTTCCCTACGGCTTTCAGCACAGTTTCGTACGTCCAAAGCTGCACATTTGTCTCTACGTCGTCCGTCAGTCTCCGTGCACCCGAGGCTCTCTTCCGCTCTTCGATATATCGCGGGTATTGGCTGCGTATGCGGTCTTCAATGCACGCGGGGCAGATGAAAGGATGCTGATGCAGGTTTTCTTGTCGCTTGAGCCAGGCTAAGGGGAGTTGGGGTTTGGTGGTGTAGATACAGCGCGTACAGTTTGTTGAGCATGGCGACTTTGGGGCCGGGAAGCACACCGGTGTGGAAGGCGACGAAGGCGGCTTGATGACGTGTTCGCAGTCGAGAGTGTGGAGAGGGGTGGACGGGTCGTCGCAGTGGTTTTGAGGCGGCGGCTTGGTGAGCGCCATGGTGGAGTGCGGTATGGATTGCTTGGATAAGTTGCGGGCGGGAAGAATTTGGGGTTGGGTGTGAGTGAAATGGTAGGCTGCAGTGATGGGATTGTGAAGACATGATGTGGACGGACTTATGGTAGAGGGGTCAAAGTGCAAATGAGATTACAGCTATTTAAGGGTGTTGTTGTATTTTCAGCATACAATGACCACCTTCATTGAAGGTGCAGTGTATCCGCTACCGTCGTATCCACCCTGACTACCGGAGCCCCAAGTCCCTCTTTCTTACCAGGCAGAGCTCCTTCCAGCCATCGCTTGTGCTTTACATCCTTCCAACCCACAATCCTAAACACCATCTCCCTCCCCATTGTCCGCTTCGCTTTTACATACATCCCCGTGCTTACTTCCTGGAGCAAATGGCCACTTTTCCGTACCGTGCCTACATCTTCACAGCGCACATTGAACACAACGCGCTCGATTGAGTGCCGTTCTGGGAGACTACGGAATGCGTCGCGCCAGCTTTGGATGAAGGGAGTCATCAATGGGCCGTAGGTGTCACCGTCGTTTAGAAGACCATCGGAGGAGACGAGCGGAGATATCCCGATGTGCAGCGCTTTGATTGCAGTGACGGGAAGTGAGAGGCAGTCGTCGGCGGACTTGCGTGAAGACTGTGGCTGCAGGATGCGGATGTCGGCGTCTGATGTGGCTAGTTTGCTGCCTAGGACTGAGAGGGTCTCGGGATCGTTGATGGTGACGACTACATGTGGTGTGTTGCCAGGCATGGTTTCTTCGTAGATATCTGGACATTCTGACGATGCGGTGAGAGTGTCGGGGTGCTCGGTGTCTGTTGTCAGTTCTAGAGAGACTGGCATCGCGAAACGTGGATTGTTCTGTGGATTGTCAAAGAAGAAGGGTTCGCAGAGGAGTGAATGTCGATGTTGATGTTAAGGCTTTTGACGTTTTCGCCTCCGCAATGCTGACCTTTTAGGCAACCATTTGGGCAGCCAATGGGCATGGCGGTCTTTCATGCTGCTAGATAGACTTCATTGTTCTCTCTGGCTCTTCAAGCCATTGGTCTCTGGTGCCGATACACCCGAATATTGCCGGGATAATACAAAGTTACGCGCGCGTTCACTTCCCGCGATTAGTCATCTTGTAGAGCGCAAGTTCGCTACGTCGCAGAGCAAGCAAGCACAACCAGCAATCAATGTGGAAGCAGAGGTAGCAAGCTGACGTCATCCCTCAATCACTCGTCAGTCGCGCCTACCCCAGCTTCATAATACCTCCGCCAAATCTTGTGTAGTACAACTATATACCACAACACCATGTGAACATCACATCACCACGTCGTCCGAAGACGCTATAACACCCTCAACATTCGCTGCGTACGCGATGCGCAATCTGAGATCATGGTCGAGGTGAAGACTGCGCGGTTGCTATTGTGCGCGGCCTGCCCTTCACTAATTACGGCCGCGTGAGTATGGCCATTTCAAGAACTCACACCCAACTCACCCTCACTTCTTGGCGGTGAATCCTGAGTATTCAATCCTATTGTCGCGAGACCAACTCTTCTCTTTCGACTCACTGGACCTCGCCTGACCTACAGTCCAAGCTACCGACCACCCACCTACCGCGCAATCCAAATCGCGCTTGCCGCCTACATCACCTTGTATCCCAAAGTGTTCTCTTCGTTAGCACTCATGTCGTCGTCTGTCGCCAGACAAGTCGGCAACATGCTCGCGACTCGGTGGTCGCTCCCAGGACAAGCAGCCACGCCGTCGCCATCCACCAAGCAAAAGACCGACTCCAAGCAGAAGGTCGACGCCATACACGAGAAAGTCACCTACCCACGCGTCTTAGGATCACGGGACGCGGACTCATGCAACAACGCATCCATGTCCTACGAGCACCTCCTCGCATGCGGCCACCTCATCACCACACCCACGCCCGACGAGCGATGCGCACCCAATTGCTACTGTGTCGAGCACAGAGCGCACAAGATCAACGGAGATGAGAAGAAGAAGGCGAAGATGCTGCTGTTCTACTGCGACGCGTGCGTAGAGGAGGAGAACGAGAAGCTCGTGGCTAGTACTTTGACGTCAGCAGCGGCAGGTATGTTCACTTGCTGATAGTAACGCTCACGACAATGCTGACCGCTTGACAGAGAACCTGCGTCGCACCCTACGAGAAAAGGACGCCACCAAGCGCGAGAAGCTGACCAAGTTTCGCAAATGCTATATCGCACTCAAGATCACATCCGTGCCTTGCCACACCGACGGCGCACTACGCAAGGGTTATACGCCGCGCAAAGAGCATCATCCATTCGATATTTCGATCCCTCGAGTAGGCGACAACTTCTTCGAAGACATCCTGGTGAACCCGGTGAAGGAATCGAAGGCGCCTAGCAACACTATCGCGACCGCGCCGAGAGAAGCAAACCACCCCGTCGTCGGCAGTAGCCCAGCCAACCTCGGCGAAGCCGGTGCAAACTACCTGCGATATACGGCAGCGCAATCTGCAGCACCCAAGGCCCTCAAAGCCAAGCCGAGCGCCTCCAACGCTAAAAAGACCGCGTCACTGTCTGCTCCCCGCAAGGCCGCTGCAGCATCACCAGTAGTACCGAGCTCCGCTGTCGCGCAGAAGATATCTCCAAAGGAGTCACGCAAGAGGCCCATCGTCATCGACGATGATGAGGACTACGTGGACGCGCCGGAGAAAGAAACAGAGGTTGTCAAGAGGACCAGGAAACGACAAAAGGCCACTTCGTTGCCGTTGCCACTGCCAGGTACTCCGAAGAGGAAGCCAGGGCGCCCTAAGGGAAGTGGGCGCAAGAAGGTGTGAGGCCTTGACGGATACAGGTGGTGCGAAATCGTGAGGATGTGGAGGTGATGACGAGGTTGGAGATTACATGGACGGGGTGGATGCTGCTATGCGATGCCTGGATAGTGTCGTATTTGCCAGGCTGGTATTCTGGTATGGGTACATATTGAATGGAACATGTCGTTGATGATGCTTCTGATGGAAGATGTGTTGAAGATGATGATGGATGGCCATGGTGTGCGATGTTGCTTTCACCCCACTTGGCCTGCTGACTAATCTACATTCTGCCATCTCGCCACTCTTGTCTTCAACGTACCAAATGCACGATTGAAGTGTACAACATATTTTATTTTGACACTTATTAACGCGAGTTGAAATATCTATCTGCATGCTCTACTACATCCAATTCCAACCCATCAAACACGAACCTCCTCACGTCGCCCTCTCGTCCTTTTTCTCATACAACAAACACTCACAATACGCTAGATAGATACAGTCCAGACAGTACACAGCATACAACGCCTGAGACCAAGATTACCGCGATCTCTATGTTCGACATCTCGTCTACGCTGTGAATTCTGATATCCCGCCGCCTATCCTCTCTTTGTGAAGGGAGACCGCGTTCTAGATCAATTGTAGTGCGCTTTTGCTGGTCGTATGTGTTAGGGCAGATGATTGGGTCGGACATGGCGTTGGTGTCGGTTGTTGTTTCGCGAGCAACTGTCGAATGGTTGGTTGATTTTGCTGTTGCGTACTGTTATATGGCGCTCGTGATCTTATGGGTGACATAGTGATATGGTGAATAAGCGAGACAAGTACATGGAGGAGCCGGGCGCTGATCAGTGAATGTGCAATGCACTTTTTCACTGAAATATTTTGTGAATGATGGGCATGTCGTTCTGCGAGCGACTTGTGTAGTATTTGATCGGATGGATTTGGGAAACACGCCGCTCCCGCCCCATATCGCAATCTCCAGTCCCCTCACCCACCAACCACTCACAACACACCAGTACCATACAATATAGACAAAGCAAAACACACACCGCTTACAACCAGAAGTACCGTAATGGTCATGTTCACCCATTCGCCCTGCCTGTACATCCCAGTATACCGACGTTTGCGTCCATCATTTCCGTGCGGGGAGCGACCGCGTTCCAGATCTGAAGGCATACTGCGCTCTTGTTGGACGTGCGGATTCCCAGGGTTGGGGGTTATGAATAAGCCGGCGAGGAGGTGGTTAGCGGCTAAGGAGTCGTGGGTAGCTGCTGAGGGGGAGGTTGAAGGAGGGGTGGAGGTGTTGTTGGAGGGGGTAAGTGTTGAGGGGGTTGATAGATTGGTCCTAGAGGTACTGTTGTCTGGGGTTCGTAGGATTATGGGTGGCATCGCTGTTACTGTGGGTCTGAGTGTAGTGAATCTGAGTGAGGTAAGTGTAAGAATAGTCCCGGCGCTTTATAAGTGAATGTGCAATAGGTTTGTTTGCTGCCTCGGTGGATGGATGGAAGAAATGTGGTTCTGTGAGTGCCTTCAAGACTGCACGATCGAAATTGCCTGTGTGTTCTACAATACTTCGTTTCCTGGAGACGAGTCAAAAGCCTTGCGTGCCATTGCGTTACTAGCTATGGAAATGGCTCCACTGGCTCTAGTGGTCATTTCTCGCGATCCCCCGCGTTCCCCGACGGACATCAGCAGAGTTGTGGAACTGACGATATGCTTCCATAAATGGCTGCATGGCTCTCACCATGAATCATTCCTCAGCGCCAGCATCTTCGATGTCGTCCACATATTGTCGAGTCGCAGCGGCGAAGGCCCCCTAAGCAGCAGATACCACTTTAGATCTTTTGACGGAACGTAGGGGATGTTTTCCAAAGCCGACGAGTCGCGGACGTACTGACAATATTCCCGGACAGTCGCTGCAGCCTCCATCGCACTACCGACGACCCAGACCTTGTCAAACCCACCTATAATCGTATTTGCAACGACGATAAGACCGCCCACTTCGAGTGACAGGAGGCGATTCTCCAAGGTTTCTGTGAAGACATCCAATGAATTCTCAAGAAAGACAACATTCTCTAACCGAAGTCTGATTGATAGTCGAAGTAACTTCTGGACTGCGATCCGGTTCAATTTCACATTGACGAGACTCAACGTGTCGAGACTGGAAGTCCAGATCGGACAAAGAAGCTGGGACCATCCCGACACTAGCCCTATCTGAGGCGTGGACATGTGGAGCGCGTTGTTCTCTGCGAGCGATCTTCCTGAAAAGATCAGGTGTCGTAGGTTCGGACAACGCAAGGTATTGGGCATAATGAAAGTGTCGTTGGCCAGTCTCATCTTCAACGAGTCGCTGCTATACGCATTAGACTTGTCGCCACTGTCAAATATGTATTACAGTGTAGTGAGATGAGAGAGTACCATGTCTCCGGTCGGAAAACCGACGAAGCCAAGTGTGTTGAAGTTGATGGAGGCTTTCCAAAGTCGCTGGCCTTGGCGGTGATCTATGTGTCTAAGCAACGCGTAGAAGATGTTCATGGAGTGTCTGCTTTGAGATTTCGCGCAGGTGTACCGTAGCGGATAATTTTGAGCGAGGCTGAATGAAGGGAGAACAATGTTGCCTGTATTAATTCCGTACAGCTCTTGATAGGGGGCCTGATCCGTGAGACGCAAGTTGTTAGTCTCCCTGAGTGGTGTATGCTTCGTGTACGCTCTATCCACGGAAAGTGGAAGCATGCTGCGGGTTGGCCGATAGCAAACTGTTTCCAAGTTGATGAACTTGTCCATCCAACCTACGCTGTTATCTTCCAACCATGTAGACTAAAGATAGGGATCCGTCATCCGGTTGTGTTGACAAGGGCGGTGGAACTCGCGGTCACGATAGCTTAGGCCTGCCCTCTCGAATTCTGCAACCTCCAGTCGTCGTGGCGCCGCATCTTTGTTCACTATAGCCCTTACGAGTTTCGCTCGAGCAGGATCGTCAGCAATGCCTTTGAGTATGGCGATGCTCTTTAGATCTGGCGCAAAGCACACAGTGCGATAGAGATACTTCTTAAACCCCGGTTTGTTGCATCCTTTACAGGTCAAGAGGAAGCTCAGCACGTCGTTGTAGCTTTCGTTGTTGTTGCAAACAACATGGTCCAGTACAACGTCGAGAACCTCGTTGGGGAGTGAGAACTGGCTGCGCAATGGCGCTGCCGGCGAGCAACCTTCGTCATGAATTCGTACGATATGCGGCTGAACATTGAGACGACCTTCTTCGTCAGTCAGCGTGATTGACCATGGCGCCAACAGGTTCATATTAGCGATGAGACGATTGCGCTTTTGGATACCAGATCAGCGTCAGCAACTGACACACACATATTTATACATATATCTCGGTCTCGCGAAGGGCGCGTGAACCACATCGGGTGGTCGGACGGCATCACGTGTTGCTGAAGCGTTGTTGCAGCCCTTGTGAGCATTGACAAACGACGAGAAAGAATCAGTAGCGGAGGCCAAAGGTTTGTCGCTCTTCTCGGTGTTCTGGCATACTCTAAGGAACAAATCCTGGTCTCTTGGGTATGATGTATGCATACTCCGCACGCGTAGCGGCATGGGTGTAGCCCGAATGTGGGGCCTCTCACAACTGTTAAAGTACGCCCGGAGCGCGTATCTGCAGCTCCGTCTGCTCGGCACACGTAGGCCATGAGCATAACACCGTATCACAATACTTGACGGTTGGTTGATTACCTGGACATCTTGGGGAGTGTCGCAAAAGAGCCAGTCGTTTGCGCGACCAATCTCATACGCACGATGGCAACGGAGTCGACGAGCAGAATCGAATTTGAGCTTCGCGGTGCAAGATTCTCTGATCTTTCTTCATTAGCGACAGTATGGACAGCGGCATTCTTCAACGATGAGATCATCGGCGAGCTCATGCATCCACACCGCAAGCAGTATCCGGACGACGTGTACTGGTTCTTGCTGCGCGGTATCCGAGAACGGTTCTGGGATTGGCGACATCGATTCCTGGTTGTGACAGACGATGAGAAGGTCGTTGGTGCCGCAGATTGGAGGAGGCTAGGAAAAGGCGGAGAAGACATGGTTTTGGGACGAACAGATCCACGTATGTCCATCAAAGTATTCCGCATAGCCTATGAGCGCGCAGCTGGCCCTATCTGACCTCTCTGTTCGCAGGTAATCTCATCGCGTCGGTCGTGAAGACATACCACTCCATGTCTCTAGCGCTCTTCCCCAATCGCGCGGCTGATCCTACGCGCACATCCTTCCTCGACACCGCTGTCGCGAGCTCGGAGAAGTACTGGAGTGGCCATCGCACTGAATGCTGGGACTTGCATGTGTGTGGTGTACACCCAGACTACCAAGGCAAAGGTATTGGAAAGCTGTTAGCCACGTGGGGTGTACGCGAAGCGCAGAAGGAGGGTGACGAAGTTGTGGCGAGTGTCTTGTGTGGAGAGAAGAATAGAGGATTCTATGCGAAGGCTGGCATGGGTGTCCAGGTTTCGGAATCGAAGGGCGATGGAGGCGGCATCGCGTTGTTCACGAGATAGATCGCGCGGGCGACGCGTGTCAGCCAATGAGCATTGCCGGAGTTGTGCCGGCGGCATCGCGTCTCCCTCCGATGACGCGTCTGCGACTACCATCTTCCTCCCCATCACGTAGCGCTTTCTATCATCACATTCATCTCTTGCCCATCGTCAATCGTCCCTTGTGAATCGATGAGATAGCACGCAGCACCGCAATGGAGATGAGAAGGAATGACCGAAAATGCCGAACGCGCGGACCGAGCGTGACTGCCTGGCAGCAACACATAGCTGCTGCTACCCGCCGTATTGGATGACTTTCAAACAATGAACCCTTCTCCTTCATCAATCACTCTTATCCCAGGATACGCAATATGAGTTCCGCTATTACATTCGCTGCGGGTGTCGTACTCCACGCTACTGTCTTCGCAAGGCATCGCGAATGGGACCGCCATGCAGCCAACATCCTCATCTCATCATGCGTCCTCTTCGCAGCTACAGTCGTAGCAGTTGCTGTTATTCGGAATGTTTCCTGGGTCTCTTCTTTCGCTTGCGTGGGCGATGTGACCACGTCCTTCGTCAGCGGCCTTCTCAGTTCTATGATAGTGTATCGACGATGGCTACACCCTCTCAGATCCTTTCCAGGGCCTATAACTGCACGGAACACTAGCCTATGGATCATCAAGCAAAACGTCCCTGATCTCGACTTATATGTCAAGATGCGCAGCTTGCATGATCGATATGGCGACTTTGTGCGAATAAGTAGGTTTGGAGAGCATTTAGACGAGTGCGTCGTTGACCTGGTCTAGGGCCACGCGAGATCTCGATCTGCCATCCTGATGCGATAGCGGACGTACATGGACCGAGGAGCAAGATCCTGAAAGGCGAATTCTACGATCAGACCCATCCATTTCATAGCCTCCAATTCATCCGCGATCCGAACCTCCATAAGGAACAGCGTCGGTACTGGGACAGAGCTTTCCATAGACCAGGTCAGTGATCTCCGCTTTCGTTTGCTGCCAAGCAACCAAGGTCGAGCATACATCTCCTTCTGTCACTTCTAGTTCCGCACGATCAACGTCACCAGCTAGCACGATGGGATGTTAGACCACCACAGCTAACAGCTGTAGCACTGCTGGGATATGTGCCACGACTTATACGACACTATCGAATCACTGCCAGTATACTTACGAGTCATGCGGCATCACGAAAGCCGATCGACGCCAGCGGTGCCTTTTTAGACCTATTCTTTGATGTCATATCGGACTTGACGTTTGGTCAGTCCTTCGATATACAGACCACGAAGCAGCGAAGTCCGATCATGGCAGAGTTCCTCAGCAAGCAGAAAGTACTTGGCTTCGCCTTGCTGAACATGCCTCTGCTCCACCTCGCTAAGAATCTGCACACATCCACAAGGAAGCAGAAGCCCTGGGAACGTTGGTATGATGAAGCATTGAAGGCCCGCAGTAAGGTAAGTCAGCCAAGCTCTGACCAACTTTCGATCTTGATGCTCATATGCGAAGAAAACTGTTTCGACTTCGGACATATACACATACCTGCCGCAATCTGAGCTCCTCAACGGCAACGCTCTCAGAGAGGCCAAGTTGGCTATCGTTGCTGGCGCTGATACAAACGCTATTACGATGTCGAACATTTGCTATCTACTGTGCCGCCATCCTGGGTACCAGGCGAAGCTCCACTATGAGTTGTCAGCCTTACATTCTCTTTTCCCCGACGACCATAATCTGACGAACAAACCTTGCTTGGCTGGCATCATCAATGAAGCATTGAGATTGCATCCGCCCGTCCCCTCCGGTCTTCAGCGTGTAACACCCGCAGAGGGCGCAGTCATCGCCGGCCGACACATACCGGGCCATATGAATGTCACAACGCCGACGTACGCACTACATCGAGGTAGTGATCTCTCTCTCTCTTGTTGCAGCTTGAGCTGACCTTTCAGATGCACGCGCGTTCGTTCGACCAAACGAGTTCATTCCCGAACGCTGGTACTCGCGCCCCGACCTTGTCCTTCGCGGAGACGCATTCGTTCCATTTGGCTACGGCGTGTACAACTGTGCGGGTAAGCCCTTAGCTATGTTACAATTACGTATGGTGCTTGCCATGATCTCCCGACGGTTCACTATGGCATTTGCTCCTGGCCAGGAAGCTCTATGCCAGTACTTCATCGATCATCAAGCCGACTGCTTCACGCTCAACCTTGAGCCGCTTCCTTTGCTGTTCGAACGAAGAGGCGTGTGAGTAATACCAAGGTGGATCTTGTATCGCGATGTGGCTGGCACATGACCGCATGCTACACTGGCGAAGATGGAATATTGCTACTGCAGTTTGCCGATAGGTTCAAAACATCCTCCCTCAACCTCCGTAGTTGTAGGTATTCACATGGATTCTTATGAGCTCTCAGGACTGGAAGTGAAATGCCGCATGAGTGGTGAGAGAAAGCTGTCACCCAAATGACCCTGAAGTCAGCAGTTGTGCTCCCCTATGGTTCGCTTCCAACCCACACCCCGTTCGCTACCACTGAATCACAACACCCCCCCTATTCCTTCCACTCTCACTTCTGTCCGACTCGCCGACACTATGGGCTTCATGAAGCAAGGCAGCCAACGTCCCCTCGGCAGGCGCCGCACTCTGCACGACTTGCGAAGGGCAGCGCGCAGCCCAAAGCAACCTGAGGATTCCGACCAGACCTTAGTGCAAGCAACAGATGCGCCGCAGGCTCAAGATAACACGTCACGACTGAAGAAACGCGCAAGCACCTTCGGCATCAAAAATGCGCTCACCAAACTCCGCATCATCAAAAGCAGCCCAGCCCCCACGCAACCAATCTGGACCCAGTATGAGCTTGTCAAACGCATAGGCTCCGGTGGAAACGGCCTCGTAGATCTCTGCTTCGACACATCCGCCGGCATCCTCGTCGCAGTAAAGACTCTAACCCTCCCAAATCCCGCCGCCCCTCTAGCAGAAGCAACGATTCTGCAAAACCTAGGCCGCCACGGCAACATCGTCAGATACTACAACAGTGTCCTAAGTCCACCGCATCCTAATCGTCTACAACTAATTTTCGAATACTGTCCCAGAGGCGATCTACTGGATTACCTGGATACCTTGGATGGCCCCATCCCCGAACTATTCCTTTGGCATGTGTTCAAGCATGTCGCTTGTGGTCTCACTTTCCTGCACAGCCGCGGCATCGTACATGGCGATATCAAACCCGCCAATATCCTCCTCACCGCGGCGCGAGAAGGCGAGCGTTTCTCGCTACCCAAGATCGCAGACTTCGGCGCTGCGTCCTGTAACCCCTTGCCAGAAATCCCACGGGGCCACATCGGTACACCGTCCTTCCAACCCCCCGAAGCCGATCTTCGCCACGGCCCAGAATCCGATATGTGGTCCTTGGGAAGCATGATGCACGAACTGGTACTGGGTCGTGTACCCATGCAGAAAGTGCGGGAGCTGGAGACCGATGCCGAGACTTGGTTTGGGGGGAGTGGACGGGAGATACCGGATGGTGTTGTTGCGCGTGATCTCTATAAGGAGTTTTGTTACTACCAAGCTGGCCACGTTGTTGAACGCACGCGCATCGATTGTCCATCGGAGTATACGACGAAAGTATACAGTACCCTGCTGAATCACTTCATGATGCGCGCGCTTGAACTCGACTGGGGGAAACGCATCACGGCTAGCCAACTGTGGGACCTGTTGCCTAAGCTCGAAGCTATTGTGCAGGATCTGCATATACTGGGCAAGCCTGATCTGCTCGATAGCCTCGAGGAACGAGAGGACATGAATGGCCGAGAGGCCGTATGCGTCACCGACTCTCAGATGCTGCGACAACTGTTCGAGAGATTGGCACGGTGTGCGGATTGGGCGAGTCATCAGGAGATGCGGAGGAGAGGGATGCAGTTGTTGTTTGTTATGGAGGAAGAGGATCATTTTGCGGTTTTTAGGGCGCTGAGGGATGTGAGGGGCTTTTGGGGGATGGAGTGGTGATGTGGGGTGGACGGTAGGGGGGGGGGGGGGGGGGGGGGGGGGGGTGTGGGGGGGGTTGTAAACGGGAGTGTGTGAACTAAGA